GTTGTGTTGGAGTCCTTCCACATAAGCCACCTTCCTTATAGTAAAGTCCCCATTTGTTATCATCCCGTATCCCTTTATGGTGCCGAAGGAATTATTTCCAAACTTGACGTTGCCACCATTTGCAAGAGACCTGTATTCCCTAAGCTCCTCTTTCCTCCCTGTCATGTGACGTGAGCAGCCACTATCGATGTACCATTCTTCGTCGAACTGCTCGTCACTTATAACCTGCAAAAATTAGACAGATTTAGGAACCCAAAGTTTCTTGGGTCCACGTGAGCTTTGCATGGGAACGGGAACAGTAAGAGAGACGTCAACAAGATAAGTTCGTTTTATAAGAGTTGTTTCATCTTTCCTTTTAATGGTAAAAACTTTTATTTTGTTAGGATTGGATGTGTTCGGTTTGGACTCTGGTTTGGATTCATTCACCTTCTGCTTTCCCTTTTGTTCAGCTGACGAGTGAGATTTTTGAGAACAAGAGGAATCAGTTTTAGAACAAGATGGAGATAAATCAGTGGAAGTAGAAGAATTAGATGAACGAGAAGAATTAGAATGAGAGGGTTTGGATTGAGAAGATTTCCTGGCTGGAGACTCTAGGTGACCCTTTTGCTTTTGATCGTTGGAGGGACTGACCTTAGAGTTTTGTTCTCTTTTGACTTCAGAACCGAACCTTTGCGTTCGGTTGGAGCTGTCTTTGGAACCGAACCTTTGGTTTCGGTTGATATCTTCTTGTGAACCGAACCTTGGCTTTCGGTTTTTGTGACTTTCAAGCTTTCCTACAGGATTGTTTTCATACTTTAGATTTTGTCTTGGTGTGAGAAATATGCATTCTGGGAATGCCAGAATTGTTTCCTCTCAGAAAGGTTCTTCCTGTATCTATTGTTCCTTTCTCTCTTCCTATTCCTCATCTGTGTAGGTTGATGATGAACATTTGCTTTCGTTTTCGGTGTCTTCTTGGCTGGTTCCTTTTGAACTGCAGGAGTTTTACTTTGAGCCGAAGGAGCAGAGTGAATGTCTTCTTTTGCCGAACAATCATTCTTCTGAGGAATATCTTTTGTACCACTGGTGCTTGGCTCATCGAAGTTGTCCGGCTTATTCAAGGGTTCAGATATGTATCTTCCTTTGCTCTTCCAGGAAGTTCTTTCAGATAAACCAATGGTTTCGTCTGCATTATCAATTGGAGCTTCCCAGAAGTACTCATCGCAGCCATCAGCATTGTCTTCGTTTACAATGGCTACAAGTTCAGCTGTTTGATGTTCGGTTACTCCTGTTACTTTGTATACTTGATTCGGAGTGGTCCTGACCTTTTGATACACAACTGCTTTCTCAACTAAAACTGGGGACTTTTGATGGGACAAACGAGCGAACTCTACTGAATTTTCAGAAATAAGATTCTTGTGGTTTTCAGGTTCGCTTTTAGTAAATTCTGAGCAGTCAACCGTGTCCTCTACAGAAATTTCACTCATGTTTTCGTCCTCGTTAAGCTCAGATGCATTTTCAACATCAATTTTGTTTTCTGAGCTTACGTTGGCGTTTAAAGAGTTAAATTTTTGCATGGTTTCGGTTCTCAGTTTAAGTCTGTCATTTTCATCCAAAAGGTTTTTAAGCATGTCCTTGTGGTCCTTGGATTTAATGAAGGACTCAATTTTGTCCAGTCCATACATGTAGGTCGGATTGACATCATCAGACGATATCACACTCTCACAATTGTAGGCTTCGGCATCGATTTCATCTTCCTTAAACTCTAGGAAGGGCAAAATCATGCGGTGGATCTTTTGGCCTATTTCACAATCCAAGTGAAGCTGAGTAATATTAGAGTATAAACGTTTAGCTATTAAACAAAAAACATTCCGCTGTTTTAACAATTTTAAATTGTCTCTTTGCAAATAAATGTTTTCGTCTCTAACTTTAACTAATTCCGACTCCTTTAACTCGATCCACATTCTCCGCTCCTCACTTTTCGATGCCACCCTGCTCAATTGATCAGTTAGGTTAGAATTGGTGACTCGAGTTTGAGTTAAGCTACTATCTAGATGAGAAATTCTTGTATTAACATTTTTTAGTTCTTTCTCATATAAGGTTGATGGTACTTTAGATGAAACAAAAACAGATTGTACCTTCTTTATCAGTTCATCGAGCTCACTGAACTGTTGGCTAAGTGGTTTGGCCGCAAAACACATATCCTCCTGTACCTTCGGTCCATCGCTTCCTCCATCGGTGTTGTATCCCCTCATTTGAGATACATCAGTCACCATGAAGCATCTTCCTCCACTGCTTTCCTCCTTAGCCACATAAGCCTTTCCATGGGTAGGCTTCCTCACTTCATCGTCTTCTGAGTCGGTAGACCAAACTTCCGTGCTACCGAACTCGTCACCTTTAACCGAACCCTGCACAATAAGAGCATTAATAGAAGGGTTAGCGTAGACTTCTTCTTTCTCAACTCGTCCAATCTTTTCTGCAACACAGCTTCCTCATCATTTCCATCATCTTTTTCAGCCATCTTCTTGAGGACACAGTCCTTGGCATAGTGGTTTTTCCCACCACAGTAGAAACAGCTTACTCCGGAATCCCCATCCACCTTCGGTTCCTTCTTGTGCTCCTCAGCCTTCGGTTCATTGTTCACCTTTTCAGAGCTGTAACTCCCCTGCCAGTTTCGGTTTTTGTTGCTGGGGAATCTCTTCTTTATGAACCTCTTGGGATTGGACACCATCATGGCATAATCTTCAGACGTGAGATCATATTCCTCCAGGTTGAGGTCTTCATCCTCCATCACAGCTTTACTTTTAGATAGGAGGGCCAACGAACCAAGACTAGTAACGACGTTCTTTTCTTGCACCACAATCTTCTCTTGGGACTTAAGAATACCCACCAGTTTCGCCAAAGAGTATGATTTAAACTGCTCATGGGCTTTGACTGTGGAAACTACTGCTCTCCATTCAGACCTCAATCCGTTCAAGAAAGTAACCTTCTGTTCGATAAGCTTCCTTTCAATATCATGTTTAATCATCTTGCTGAGAAGATGATTAAAACGATCAAACGTCTGGGTCACCGTTTCTTCGGCTCCTTGCCTGAATTCTCCAAACTCAGATAAAAGCAAAGTTTGAATAGAATGTTCAAGATCCTCGTCTGTAGAGTACAGTTCACGAAGTCTATCCCAAACTTCCTTTGCCGTCGTGCATGAGCTGACCAACCTGAATGTGTCGGACTGAAGGGCGAATCTAATCAACCTTAATGCCTTGATATTGCATTGGAATTTATCCTTTTCATCTTGTGCAATATCCTTCACGTCCTTTAGCAGATCATTGTACTCCTTTTGTGTCTTGATGATTCTGGACGTTGCAGAATGAGAAAACGGTCCATTGGTGATGGCTTCCGATATGAGATACCCATTATCCTCCGATCCAATTACGTAGTCTTCGAAGTGATGCGCCCATACTTCATAGTCATGGGTGTATAAGATTGGAACCCTTGTCGTCGAACCGATGCTGTTGGAAATATTAATAAGATACGTCAATAAAGAGATGACGGCTCAATAAATATTGATAATTGCGGAAAACCCCTAATTGAAATCTTTTTCACAGAAAAGATGTGTATCGATTACACAGCCTCCTGCTCTGATACCAATTGATGAGATTAAACTAACCTTTAATCTATAAAGATCGATTAGATCTTGAACAAGTATATAAACGTAAACAATAAGAACGCAATAAAAAGAATAAGTCAAGATGGAATCAAACGAGTCGAATGATTAAACAAAATCCTCAGAAGAGCTCGATTAAGAACATCAACTGTAGAGGATTGGAAGGTTACAAGAACGATCAAAGAAACCTGTTATCGTCTAGATGTATCGCTATTCTCAGATCTCTAAAAACCTTAACCTAATATGCATGCAAGCGTAAACTTATATACAAAACATAAAAGGTTCACGGTTGGACAGGCCCAAACCGTAATACAAAAAGCCTTATGCTAAACGAGCCCAAAAGACGCAATCTTCAAAAATAATCTCTAGCTCAACACTGTGCCATCGAAGAATGTGGGTTTTGCGTTCATAAAGTCTTTATAGGAACACTCCTTTCGGTGTCCCTAGCTACCTTCCTAGTTTTGAGTCTTGGGAACACCTCCTGAACTACCGGGGTTCATTTGCGACATGGCTGCTGTCATTGCGGTAGTAAAAACTGCCTAAAGTGTTACAAGATCGATTTGAGGAGAAGGTGGTGGCGGAGGAGGATTGTTGTTATTCTTTGAACTGGTTCTCTTTCTTGGAGGCATCTTGATCTATAAAGATCAGGAAAGCGAGGATGATAAGTCCTCCGAATTGAATCAAGAGATATGACAGATATATATTCTGAATAAGCGATAAAGCAGGAAAGAGTTATCAAATCAGATAAACTATGGCTAAAAGGAATGATTGAGGAGCAACGCTAGGATAAGGATTTATATAACGAATTTGGCTCGAGAAATACTCCCATAGTATTTCATGTCTCGCTGCAATGACGGTTCATTGTTTGGGTATTGGGTAAGTTTTAGGCATGTCGCACACCACAGTCACTCCCAAGCACATGTTGGCCGTGTCTCGAATGAATATAGTTGCGTAAGTCCCAAATTTAATGATCCAATTCAGTAATCAATGAAGTTAATTATAATAAAGGAGAGATGTAGTAGAAGAAGAATTAAAATCAAGCATGCACACATTTATATTCAGCAAATGTCAAGTACATCTTGAGAAAAGTACAACTGCAATAGAGTTCTGACACCAGCAAAATCAGTACAATCTAACACACCTCTGTTGCTATATATAGTACTCCTCACACCAGCACAAGAGAGTGCAGCCCAACATATGTGTGCTGCCGCACACACATGTGTGGTAGCACACATTACACTACACCACATAGTTATTTTCAAAAACAAAACACAATCATCTATACAAAATGATGCCTAGCTCAAACCACAAAATTATGTTCTTTCAGTCTCCCCCTTGGTTTAAGGCTAGCATAGTCTTGTCTTCACTCCTTTGGCACCTCAGCGGGCTTCTCAAACAACCTCAGATCTGATCTCCCCATTGAAGCCATCCACAATCTTCCATTTATAATTGTAGCTACTATTGCAGTGTATTCTTTAGCAGCAGCCTCCATGACATCCTTTCTGCAAATGATATGATGACGGGCCAAAGTTCGTATATCCTTTTCTCTGAAGCGTAGAAGATCTTTAGCACTAATCAATCTCAGAATATGTTCTCGATTCTTGAATTTTATGGCTGCAGTAGCTGTTTCGTCATCATATGCCCAAAATTCCATGTCATCTAGATATCCCTCATGAAAGTGTTGAGGAATAGGAATTTCCTTCTGTTTCTTAGTTGCAGGCCAAAGTATAATCTTTATGGGTTCGCCTGTTTCTGGATCAAGAACATCTTTGTGCTTTTTGTATAGGGCTTTGGTAGTCTTCATTGAAGGAAAGTTCTCTTTAACCTGTCTGTCGAGAAATCTTTTGAAATTTGAAGCATTTGGATCTGCAGAGGGGTTATGGAATGGGGCCCTGGATAATTCAGCTAGATCAGTTTTGGTCCAGGAATTGAAATCATGGGTGCTTTTGTAACATTCAGATGCTCCTGATTTTCGCTTTACAACCGACAAGTTCGTCACTGGATCAAAGGCCCAGATTCGGATTCCAGTTCTGTCACCGTACTTATCACCAAACTTTCTTTTCTTTAAATCTGTTACTGTCAAGACAGGGTCTTTTGTTTTGCGATTTTCATTAGAGTTTTTCATGAATAAAAGACCTTCGCTTTGTTTTGTGATTCTTTTGCCCTTCTTGATTGTGATTCTGGCTCTGCTTCCTTTAGGTTCTTTTTCAAATCTGTCTACAATGGTAGTTGTTCTTGGAATAGGTGGGTCAACAGGTAGATCATCAGTTGCAAGAGGTGATTGAACAGAAGGAGGATCAACTACTCTGTGAGGTTGTCTGAAAATGGCTTTGACTTTCTCACCAAAGGCATCGTACAATACATTCTTCAGACTGAAATAGTTTGCTAGAACAGAACCGAGACTCGTTTGTAGATCCTTGATTTGTTTGGTCTTTTCTTCATCTTTTGCTCTGAGCTCAAAAATATGTGCAGAAAGCTAATCCATCTGAATAGATTTTTCAATGAGCCGTTGACGGAGAATTCCAATTTCTTCTCGGAGATCGGATGAAGAAGATCTGTCATCATCTGTCCGACCCTCGTTAAATGATATTCCTTTTCCGCGTGACGAGGTTGGACTAGGTTGAGCTAAATGTTTTACTAATCTGATAGATGCTTCATCAAGAGAAGGTCGTGTTGGGAATATTCTGGAATAAAAGAAGATCCACCAGTCTTGAACATGGTGCTTGGACCTTCATCAGTCTGTTTTGAAGGAGAGTGAGTTGTGGTTGCAGTGATTGTTGAGATAATTTGAGGAGCACTTTTCAGAGAGGGTACCTCCAGACTCTCAAGAGATTGGCTTGTTCTTATGGAGATCTGAGAAGTCTGAGGTTCAGATATCATAGAAATGACTGGAGTTGATGTTGAGACAGGTGACACAGAGGGAGGAATCTTTGATGTCACATCTCCTTGACTTGTTGTAATTTCCAAGGGCTTTGAGGAAGAGAGCGTAATTTTGAGAGAATTTCCTTCATCTCTAGTCTTGGTTGCTAGAGAAGCAACTTCATTGACTTTATTTGCATGGCTACTGGGAATATCAAGAAAATGATCAAAATCTTCATCACCAAAATCAAACTCGATGTTTATTGGAATATCATCATTGATTCCTGTAAAGTCGATTTCTTTCAAAAACTCTACATCTTCATAAAGATCATCGTCGTCATCCCCTCGAGAAGATATTGAATCATTTGCTTTCTGATGATCATGCTCATCAGCAACACAAGTTGTGGGAGAGTGATGAATCTCCTCCACTTCAGGCTCAGAGGGATAGTGATGAGAGTCTTCATTTTCCATCAGCATGGATTGATCTGCTGTTTCTTCTCTGACATCCTCTTTAAAAATTCCAAATTTTATTAAAGGAAATTTTCCTTCAAATACAAATTTTCCGCCTCTCTTTTGCTTCATTAATCCATAGGCACTTGGACTAATGGATTTGAAATCCAGAGTATCATTTCCTCTCTGCAACTCGGGGTGAGTTACCTTAAGGATGATTTGTATAAATCTTGGATACATACAAAATTTGTCTCTTTTGCTTCCTTCAATATTCAATATCATTTCGTTCATTATAAATTTTGAGAAATTAAACTGAAAACATGCTGCCAATGCAGCAATGGCACCAGTATTGGCTAGAGAAATCTCGTTAGCTCCTGATCTCCGGCTAGAAACACAACTCACGAACACATGAGCCAAAACCCTCCAGCATGGAGGAAACAGCTTTTTGATTGTAGGAGGAAAAGTTCCTTCGTATCCCATATGCTCCAAAACTTTCTCACTTTGATGAACTTCAATTTCCATGAGGTACTCAGGTCTGTCCTCAATTTGAAGAGATTCTCTGATGATGCTTTCTCTAACTAGAATTCTCTTGTCTTCGATTGTGGTTTCCAGAAATTTTTCACCTCGATCATTCTTCTTTACTTCAGCATTTCTCCAAAAATCCTTAATTAAAATTTGGTAGATAGTCGGATTTGTAGTTAAGCAATGAACCAGGCATGATTTCTTCAAACCATCCACAATGAATTTCAAGTCACTGTGGGCTGCAGGAGGATCTTGAAGAAAAATTGCAGAATTATGATCTTTTGCAAACTCCATGTCTCCCATTTTAATCTGAAAGCTAACACATGAAATTATTAGGGCAACATATAAAATGATGCAGCCGCACACGCAGTTACACACAGCCGCACACGCATGTGTACAACTGTACAAGATCAGCCGCACACACTTGTTCATTTAAAAATGTGGCAGCGAACAGTCAGCCACACACGCTTTTAAATGAAAGAGTGTAGCAGCACACGGTCAGCCGCACACGGACATGTGTGGCCGCACACACCGTGTGTAGTTACACTTGAAAAGAAACAAATTTTATGAAGATTCAACAACAAACCATGAAAATTTTGTGAAAATAATTAAAAAATTCAACCGTGTTCATAAAAATTACCGCGTGAACAGCTTGTTTTCTCAACAAATTTAATGGAAATTTAAACAGATTTGAGAGAATTTTATGAGTGTGCAGTTGGAGCAAAATGGTGAATGAATGAAATTCACCACACACGCACACCTTTTATATGTATAAAACTTTCACTTTCTCCCCCTTTTCCTTTAATTATCTATCCCAAAACCCCTTTCACTTCACAATTTTCTCAAAAATGAATTATTTTGAGGATTAATAGAATTTTAATTTCAAAGATTCAATGAAAATTTTAAAATAAAATAAAATCAAAATAAAAAATAAAAATCAAAATAAAAATAAAATGAGATTTAAAATTTTATTGACGACAAGAATCAATTTAAACCTATATAAATTGTTTTAACCTGTTGAGGATTAGGGATTAAAGTTTTTAGACGGCCATTATCCGCTTGTCGATACCTTTCATATTCACATCTTTGTCTGGTCGATTATCGGTATTGTTGTCCACTTAAACACGAAAAACTGTGACAAAGCTAGGACATACTATAAGTGACAAGACAATGTGATCTTAAATTCCTAGATATTATATATGATCCTAAGTTTCTAGATACTATATCTTACTATATCTTAAGGACCATTACCTAACGACGATCAGGGATATTGTTGTCCACCAAAATTGAGCAGCGAGATCTATAGACAATCTTTGAGTGTTCAATTTTAATTGTACTGGAACATGTTTCCCGCTTCCAGATACGCCCCGGTAATCAAGGACTTCCAGAGTACTCCTTACATCGGATGAGCAGACCATCATTAGGGGAGAAGATAGATTCAGAGTATTATCACTTATAGTGCATATGTTGTGTACCAGGTCGGATTGTTAGTCACGCAAAGGAGACATCATATGGCTAACAGATAAGAGGAATTTCATATATGTATATGTATAATATGCCAAGTAATAGAGTTGCATATGTTACAGTTCCGGTCGGATCTCTTCCAATCACGCAGAGGAGGTAACATATGACTAACAGACAGAAAGAATGAAAATGATTTTCTACAGACCTAATTTATTGAAATTTACCAGTTGCCCCATCAATACCGGAATTAAGGACAGAATCCGCACATGGAGGAAAAGTTAAACCACGGTTCCAGATACGGGTTCATTTAATGTGACGAGTAGATTCCCATATATATCTCCCTGCTCAACCCATCCGAGCTTCGTATTGTCAGGCTAAACGAAACTATCTAGATCAAGATTTGTCAAGTCATTTGATTTCCTAAGTTCAATTCCGCCTAGTCATGTCCATTTAGAATCTTTCATGCCTACTGACACATCAAACCAGAGCATAGATCCTTCAACTTTGGGTACGTTACACAGACTCAGGTTGCCTGTTATCACATGATCATATCACTTCCCCGAACATCTTCCTCAAACATAATTTCTAATTTTTAATGATTTTGGTTTTTCTATTTTTTAATGTTTTTGGATTTTCTATTGTTTCATGTTATTGGATTTTCTGTTTTTTTAATGTTTGTGGATTTTCTATTTTTTTAATGTTTTTGGATTTTCTATTTTTCTCCCACTAAATTTGTGCATAAAAAATGAAATAAAATGCGCAAATTCTATAAAAAAATATTAATCCTCAAAATGAATCATTTTTAGAAAATTCACCAGCACATCGAATCGAACTTTGTTAAAAGGCTTGGTGAACAGATCTGCTATATTATTATCAGAGCGGACATGTTCTAGCCTAATGAGCATACGCTCATAACATTCTCGAATAAAATGAATCTTGATGTCGATGTGCTTGGTTTTTGAGTGTTGGACCGGGTTTTTGGCAATCTGAATCATAGCCTCATTGTAACAAAAAATAGGGGTTTCTTGAAAATTCAAACCGTAGTCCAACAACTGATGTTGGATCCAAATAACTTGAGAAGAACAAGCAGATGCAGCAACATATTCTGCTTCTGCTGTTCAGGTTGAGACTGTGTGCTGCTTCTTGCACTGCCATGACACCAATCTATCTCCCAGAAATTGGCATCCTCCTGAAGTCGATTTTCTATCAAGTTCACACCCACCATAATTACTGTCTGCAAAAGCATAAAGATCAAATTCGGGATTTTTCGGATACCAAAGACCCAGTATTGGGCACCCTTTGAGATACCGAAAAATCCTTTTAACAGCAATTAAATGAGAGAGTTTAGGATTAGCCTGGTAGCGAGCACATTGACAGACCGCGAACATGACGTCTGGGCGACTAGCAGTAAGATACATGAGTGATCCGATCATTGATCGATAATGAGTTTGATCTACGGATTCACCCTCAAGATCAGGAGTCATAAGAGGTCGTTCCGCCATGGGTGTAAGAGCAGGTTTTGCGTCTCGAAACCAAAACTTCTCCAGTACATCTTCCACATATTTTGATTGATGAATAAGGATTCTGGTTGAAGATTGTTTGACCTGAAGCCCCAAAAACGTGGTCATTTCCCCAAGTGAACTCATCTCAAAACGCTTCTTCATAACCGCTTCAAACTCCTTGCAAAGTTGCTGGCTTGTCGACCCGAAAATGATGTCGTCCACATAAATTTGAAAGAGAATTTGATCTGGACGGACATGCTTGAGAAATAAGGTTTGATCAATGGTGCCTCAGGAATAGCCGTGATTGAGCAAATGCTGAGTAAGAGTAGCATACCAAGCACGAGGAGCTTGATGCAATCCATACAGAGCTTTTTCTAACTTGTAAACATGATTTGGAAGAGATGAGTTAACAAAACGAGGTGGTTGGTCAACGTAAATCTCCTCCTTGACCTTGCCATACAAGAAAGCCGTCTTAACGTCCATTTGGTATACAGTAAAGTTCATATAAGAAGCATAAGCAAGGAAGATACGATTAGCTTCCAAACGAGCAACTGGAGCATAAACTTCTATATAATCAAGACCCTCAATTTGCCGAAACCCTCGAACCACCAATCTTGCCTTGTTGCGCACAATGACACCTGAATCGTCTTGTTTATTTCAAAATACCCAACGAGTATGAAGGGATTTCTTTCCTTTCGGTAGCTCCACCAATTTCCAGACTCTGAGTTTCTCAAATTGATTTAATTCATCATGCATAGCTTCAACCCAGCTGGGCTCATTTAGACCCATTTCGACAGATTTAGGTTCAATTTGAGAGATGAAGCAAGAGTAGATACATGTATTAACATCCCCACTTTTACTTCTTGTTTGAGCATCGTCGCCTAACTGTCCAATGACGTTCTGTATCGGATGATCTCGCTGAATACGTGTAGGGATCTGATAACTAATATCATTGACAGAAACAGGAAGATTATGAATATTAACTGCTCCATCATTTTTTGTATGATTTATAGAGGATCAACCAGCTTCGTTTGAAGAATCTGCTACAAACTCTTCTGCAATACTCTCCGGAAAGAGAAGTTCCATCAGATTTGAAGTTACAGCGGAAGTCTCGTGGTTCATGAACTCTCTTTCCGTCGGAGTTAAGGGAGTAACAATAGCATCAGGAGAAGGTTGTTGAGGAGACTCAGAAGATTCAAAATGAGCAGCGGGTAACAATGGAGGATCAGAAGAAATCAATGGTGGTCGATAGATAACTTCATCTTCTTCATCATCACTAGGAATCTTCGAATTGGAAGTAGATCCTTTTTTATTATCTGAAGACACATTGAATGATTTGAAAAAAGATGTGTAGTCAAATAACCAATCAGGACCCACTCTTGCATCTGTCTGATTTTCTTCGAGCCAACAAACATCAAAGGATTCTCAAATCTGTTTGGTCTTCTTATTATACACCCTGTACGCAGTTCGAGCAACATATCCAACAAAGTAGCAGTCATCGGCTTTGGCATTGAATTTGGGATTGGATTCCAAGTGGAGAAGGGTGCAAGGGCAGCCAAATATGTGGAAATGACTGACAGATGGCTTGTGTCCAAATAAAATCTCATACGGCGTCTTCATTCTGGCTTTGTTTATTAGCACACGATTTTGAACATAACACAGGGTGTTAATTGCCTCTGCCCAGAAGAATACAAGAAGCTTGGAGTCACAGAGCATCGTCCTTGCGGCATCTTTTAGAGTTCGATTCCGACGTTCGGCAACCCCGTTTTGTTGAGGTGTTCGAACAGAACTGAATTGATGTACAATCCCTTTCTCAATACAAAAATGATCAAGAACAGTGTTCTTGAACTCTGTTCCATTATCGGTACGCAGTGTTTTCACTCAATGTTTAGTCTGATTTTCGATCATCACAATGAATCTTTTAATAAGGTTAGCAATTTTAGCTTTGTTAGACAGAAAGAAAACCCAAGTGAAACGTGAGTAATCATCTATCATAACAAGGCAGAAAGAGTTGCGATTGATACATAGAACATTAACCGGACCAAATAAATCCATATGCAATAATTCGAGCACTTGACTTATGAAGTTTATCTGCTTTGGAAAGTGTGGTTTTCGATGATGTTTTCCCTAAGCGCATGAAACACATTTTTCAAAAGTAATGAAATCCTTGATGGGTAGCCCACAGACCAATTCGTTCTTCGCAAAAATGATTCAAGTTCTTTGCATTCGCATGACCGAGATGATGATGCCACAGCATCGCATTTTGTTCAGAAGCTTTGGAGAAGAGACAAGTGACATCGTCAGGGAAATTGCTATTCATGTCTATAATATAGGCAT